TTGTGTGTTGAGAAGCTCCAAAATATCTCTAATGGGTCCTAAATTCATGCCCTAGTAGAGGTAATTATGTGCTCTCATTTTCTCTTCACTTCTCTCTTTTAATTTTTCAAACAAACACAAATTGGTTTAAGCAGGATTTTGGTAGTGCACTACGACGTATGACACAAAGAGGCTCATCCCTCTTTGGTTGCCTCTGTGCGCTGTGGCGAATGTTCCTCTTATCGTGACATGTGGCACAAAAGACTCTTCTTCAATTCTTCTCCCTTTTTGATGCTCGGATGGCCCAACTTTACTTTGAATTCATATTTAGGGCTGAAATCACAACCAAACACACTTTTAGACCTTTCTGGCCACACACCACATTAATTCACTCAATTACTCTCTTTTACTTAATTAAATCTTGATTAGTTTTCCATGATGTTACACTTTGCTTTAAAGAGCTAAATGAGTCTTGTTTTTATAGATCTATCGACACCCAATAAAAGTTTTACTAGGAAGAAGATTAATGAGATCCCAAGTATGCATTTTCTCTAGGGCATGCAATTCCTCATCCATGTCTTGCTACCAAAAAGGATCACGAGAAGCTTCCTTAGAATATTTAAGTTCATGAAATTGGAGAATGGTAGGAGAATAATGGTAGTCATTGAGGTAAGAGGGAGGATTTCTTACACGAATAGATCAAAAGTCTATAGATGATATGGACTCAGTAGGCATGACTTGTGTTAGAGGAGCAAGAGGTGTGACAGTAAGCATATTTGAAGTAAGCATGGCGTTGAAACGAATTCAGTAGAAAAGTCTGTACTGGAATCACTAGGAAAAAGATTAAAAGAAATATATGTAAAAATAAGAGATAAAGAAGATGGGAATGATGAGAGATTGGTTAGAGACAAAAACTTGATATTTTTTCAAAAGACAACATGCTAAAAAATGAGAATATGATGAGAGAGAGGATCCCAACAATGATAACCCTTATACTCATAATCATAACTAAGAAAACAATAGACAGGAGAATGAGCTTGAAGCTTGTTTGTCTCATGAGATAGAAGAAGAACAAAACAAGCACAAGTAAAGACTTCTAAAAAAACTATAATTAGGAGGATAACTATGGAGATGCTCAAAAAGAGAAATGTTACCAATGATAGGAGATAGGAGTTGATTGATGCAAAAGATAGAGGTTAAGGTTGCTTCACCCAAAATCATTTAGCATAAGAAGAGGAAATGAGCAATGCTAACAAAATCAAGAATATGATGATGTTTATGCTTATCACGACCATTTTGTTTAGAAGTGTAGGGACAAGAATATTGAGAAATGGTGTCATGAGAATCAAGAAAGATAAGTAATTTAGAGTCATGATATTCTAAAGCATTATCATAATGAAAAATTTTGATAACTTTAGAACGGTGAGTATGAATCATAGTAGTAAATTTGATATAAAGTTTAGGTAATTTAGATCGATGTTTCATTGTATAAATTCAGGTAAAACGAGAAAAGTTATTAACAAAATCACAAAGTATCGGGATCCCTTATAGAGGGAGTAAAGGCAGGACCCCAAACATCAAAATGAATCAAATCAAATGGAGAAGCAGTAATAGAATCATTTTTATAAAAAGACAAAATGAATTGTTTGGCAGCTTGATAAGAAATGCATTGTAAAGACTTATTATGAATATGACCTAAAAGACCACTAGAAATTAAATGATGCAATTTACTCAAAGAAGAGTGAGCAAGGTGATGATCCCATGAGTCAAGAAAAGAATCACGTGAAAAGGATGTAGATGCAACACATAATATGGGAGTAATGATCTTAGGTAGGTGCAGTGAGGTGAGCTTGAACATACGACCAACTTTATGCCCAGTCCCAACAGCCTGTCCTGTTTGAGAATCCATCACAACACAACTACGTTTGTTAAATAACACATTATAACTCATGCTAACAAATTGTCCAATAGAAAGAAGGTTGAAACTAATGGAAAGGATAAAATATGTATCATGAATAGACAAGGAAGATAAAGAGACAATATCAATGTGATTTTGAGAATTATCAACAGTGTGTATAAGATATGCAATAAAGTTAGGGGTCATAGAGGAGAAGAAATTTTCTTAATCTGTCATATGATTGCAACAAGTAGAGTCAAAATACTAAGTGGATTTACTAGTGGGAGTAGATAAGGGTAACAGATGGGTCATGGGTTAAAGGAACTAGAGATAAGCGTGCATAACAAAGTTTCAAGTTTAACTAGAGAAAATCCTAAAGTAGACTAAGTAATATCACATTTTTTCCAACCAAAGATGATAATTGCAATCATTTAAAGTAATTGAGATAGATTGAGTAACTTATGAATGTTCTATTTTTAAGGAAAATAAGCTTACAAAAGGGAATGAAGGATAAAAAACACCCAAACCAGAGACTGCGGTATAAATAGAATAACTCACACTATGTAAAAATCAAACGATCTAACTATTAAAAATATGGTTATCAAAACTGGATTGAATTGCTGATTCGATCAAGAACCGGTCCAAAAATGACACATAACCAAGGGAAAAGGGAATTACGCTCAGATTGCTTGAATTGGAGGTGAACCGGCTAAAATCGAGAGAACCGCTAGTTCAAGGGGTTGAGGAGGTTCCCTCTTATTTTTTTCTCCTTCCTAAAATTGCAAAACAATGCCGTTTTGCTTTCTTTTTCTTGATTTTTTAGCAGTCGAATTCATATAGAATAAATGGATCCCAAACGAGTAAATTCCTAATTTTCTAAACTTAAGGCTCTCATCTTCTTCTTGCTCACGTTAAGGCATATGTAGAAGTTCTGTGGTAAAACCACTGAACCAGAACAGTTAAAGCAAAACCTTACGACATCTTCTTCTCCTTTCTTCCTCAATCTCACAAACTCACACTCATCTCAGGTCTTTGTCTCACCATCTCAGTCATCAGACTTGTTCTCGACTGCTCATAAATCTTTTTGACCTCTTTGTCTTGATCCCTTCGACTACTCATGATTTCTCGACTTTTCTTCGAATGCTTGTTATTGCTCAGCTTCTATGACTACTCGTGACTTCCAACTCACGATATTTTCATTAACAGGTCATAGCTCGTGATTTCTTTGATTGCTCATTATTTATGCTTCATAGTTTATAATTAATTTCTATTATTTAATGGTTTTGTCATTTGAGTTTGGGTGTTGAATGTTGCTTTTAATTCTATAAATTTTGACTTAGTAGTCTTTTATGGACAGGTCCATAAGGCAAAATGCTTCTCTTCTTTTTACATTAAAGTAGAGTTCAATTTATATTTTATTCATTTATTATTTATATATCAATACTAACTATTTTTTCTCAAATATATGTATTGGTGCTGTTGAAGATGTAAATGTTTTGCAGCCTTTTATTTTGGATTCACCGGATGTAATAAGAGTTGAAAGATATGTTTCTATCTTCAGCATGGTTTTGGAGAATTTAATTTAAAAGATCAATTGAATGTTGAATTATGGTGGGATATTTTTTTTTTCAAAAGCAAGTATGGATGGATTGTTGCTTTATAAGTAATTAGATTTCTTTATTTTACAACTTTCTCTATAATTTTTAATATATAATATTTAAAATATATTAATTTAATTATAAAAGGTTCGACCTCGGTCTAACCCCGGTCCAACTTTTGAACCGTGAACCAATACCTTAACCAGTTTAATGTCCAGTCCGATTCTAATAACATTAGTTGAAAATGATGCATTGGATGTTTTGTATCTGCTGATCCAATTTTATCACAATCCAACGATTAACGAACATGCAAACATCAATTTACCAAAATTGCCTTGTGGATATGAAAAAATAGATTTGAGATACATTTGAACTCGTGACAAAGGACGATAATATCGAAGGCTAACACTATTCAAAAACTGACTTATTATGAAAAAATAATATTCTAATGCTTTGGTACCATGAAAGCTATTAAAAATGAGAGATATAAACTAATTAAGGATTAAAAAATATCATATCTATTATTGGTTTGAAGGGTACATTATATACACAAAGAAAATAAATAATACAACAATGATTAATAATTATATAATAATATCAAATAATATCTCTTAATAATGATTGAGATATATATACAATAATGATATATGATTTTTGGAGAATATTCTAGATAACAGGAGCAAATGACATACTCCTTTCAATTTTAAATGTGAGCAAGTTTTAGAAAAAAAATCCCATGTTAATATCATTCTTATAAAAATATATATTGCTTTTTTAACTCTTAGTTTCAATTACCAATAGATTTAATGATGAGTTAGAGATCAATTTACAAAAGAATTTAGGTTAATAAATACAAATGGTAAAATAGAAAAAGTTTTTTTATGTATACTAGATTGTTTACATTTTAAACGAGAGTATTAGACAGAGAAAAAGACAAGAGTTACAACTTACAACAAAAATGAAACTAAACAGAGAACAAAAAAAATGAAACAAAGGTTAAAGTGTATTTTTATCCTTATTTTTTTTAATAAGCGTTAGATATCCTGTACTAATAAAAAAATATTTTTTTTAAATTATTTTTTAAAAGAACAAAAATCTCCCTTCATTTGTGATTTGTTAATAGAGGAAGATATTTATTCTTTTGAAAAATGATCTTGAAAAAAAATACCTCACTAACTAATATGGGGTGCCTAATGCACCTCAAAGGTAAGTGTACAAAAAGGAAATGTATTTTAACTTTTAAAATATACAAATGACAGTGGGAGGGATTTTCAATCATCTGAAAAATAATTTATGAAAAAAATATTTTGCTATTAATGTAAAGTATCCAGCATTTCTCAAATAAATGTAGAGAGAAAAAAATGCACCTTGAGTCTGAAAAACAACGTCAATCAATCTCCTTGGAACTTACCTGATCGCTTTGCCGGTGGTAATTTGACTAATTTCACAAATCACGAACAAAACAGTGTCAAAGCACAAGGCCTGGTCAAAGCTCAAAGGCAGCTAGGCAAGCAAGGAAGGACTACGAAATAAAAATCTTTAAAGCGAGACCAGTAACACAACCATTAAGACTTGGACAAGGGAGAAAGAGTCTTCCTTTATGAGTACAGACGGAAGGAGAAACCATTAACACAACCATTAAGACTTGGACAAGGGAGAAAGAGTCCTCCGTTTTGCTGTTGGAATCTCTGTTAGATTTCCTCTTCAAATTTATGAATTTCCGAGGCCCTCTTTCTCTCCTCCACTTGCTGGGGTCATTTTCAGAGCTGCGATCTCTGTTTTCTCGGGAACTTTTGGTTTCTAAAATGAGATGTGATTTTCCATGGCTCTGGTCTTCCTCAGGTCTCTCTCTCTCTCTCTCTCTCTGTGTGTGTGTGTGTGTGTGTGTGTGAAGATGTGTTGACTTTCGGTCTTCATTTTTTCTGGTTATGAGTCTCAGAATATGTCAATGGGGTTGCTCGAGTAGTAGCTATGACCTCCGTAATCTAGAATTAAGCTTTGCCGATCTCATTTCCTCTTAAAAGCTTGAATTTTGGTGTAATATGTAGTGAAGTTTTTGCAATGATATTGTTACGTAAGTAAAGGGGAGGGATTCAGTGTTCGCTTTTTCTAAAATGACTTTGTCAGTATTGCTTGGGAGCTGGGAAAATACTGACGGTAACTGAATTGAGAGGGCCAAAGAAAAATAAGGGTCACTTAGTCAAGTCAACCGATTTGTTCGCCTTGGCTGAATTGAGTTCTTCAAACCCTCAAAAGAACCTGAACACTTCTTGGGTATCAGAAAATGTTGTAGAATAGACAAGAAACCTTGTTTTTTTTTTTTTACTGTAAGATTTGTTGATTAAACTGCTTCTTCAATTTCGTAAATTGAGGCTCTTGATTCATTTCTGCAAATGATCTTCATATTCCCTCTACTTCCTTCCGATGAAGCTGCAGTAGAACGCAGGTTCAGGACCCATTAGTTTTGCCGGAATACCATGCTAAATGAGAATTCTTTTAACGTTTCGTTTAGAATCCAGTATGATTTCTTTATTTACGATATCATCAGCTTTCAAACGGACACTTGAAGCCTGTTTTGTACGAGTTTATGATGTGAACGTCCTTTGTGTGCCATTTAGAAAAATCATCGGTAAATGATTCTGATAAACTCATGTTTTTTTAATGGAATCAGGTGCTTAGGCATTTGAAATTGAATCGAAATAGGTTTCAAAGCATTCCTCAATCAGGATTCGGGGGAGATTTCTGCAACCTTTCCGTCAACATTAGTCAGTGCCAGCGCTTCATTGGAAAATGAGAATTTTAGCTTCATAGCCTAACCGTGTCTCAAGATGATGGTAGTAGATGTATTGTCTTCTGCCACTTCTGGTCCTACTTCGGAAGTCATTTCTCAACTTGTAGATTCTATTCTTGAGCTTGTATACTATGCTAGTGATGTCCTTGTGAAGAAGGATAGTTTTAAGGAACTTGCAGCGTACTTGGAAAGAATTGTACCCATCCTAAAAGAATTGAGGAATAAAAAAGTCAGTGATATTGAGACATTTAACCACACCATTGACATTTTGAATCGTGAAATTAGAGAGGCAAATAAACTGACTCAAGAATGCAGCAAGAGGAACAAGGTATATCTCTTATTGAACTGCAGGTCTATTGTAAAGCGTTTAAAGAACAGTACAAGTGAGATCGGCCGTGCTCTTGCATTTATTCCGCTTGCTACCCAAGATCTTTCTTCTGGAATAATTGAAGAAATCGAAAATCTCTGTGACAACATGCAGAAAGCTGAGTTTAAGGCAGCCATAGCGGAAGAGGAGATTTTGGAGAAAATCGAATCAGGGATACATGAAAAGAATATTGACCGATCTTATGCCAATAACTTGTTGATTCTCATTGCACAAGCTGTTGGCATAACAAATGAGAAGTCAACCATGAAGAAGGAACTGGAAGAATTCAAGAGTGAAGTTGAAAATGCCCGTCTAAGAAAGGACCTGGCTGAAGCTATACAAATGGATCAGATCATCGCTTTGCTTGAAAGGGCTGATGCAGCCTCATCACCAAGGGAAAAAGAATTGAAATACTTTGCCAAACGCAAATCTCTAGGAAGTCAACCTTTAGATCCTCTTCAATCATTTTATTGCCCTATAACTCGAGATGTTATGGTGGACCCTGTTGAAACTTCTTCAGGGCAGACATTTGAGAGAAGTGCCATAGTAAAGTGGTTTGCAGAAGGAAATAATATGTGTCCTCTGACAATGACTCCTTTAGATACATCAGTTTTACGACCTAATAAAACCCTGAAACAATCAATAGAAGAATGGAAGGATCGAAATACCATGATTAAGATTGCTTCAATGAAAGAAAAAATTGAGTCAGGAGATGATGAAGAAGTACTGCATTGCCTGGGATCTCTGAAGGATTTGTGTGAAGAAAAAGATCAGCACAGAGAATGGATGATATTGGAGAATTACATACCAGTTCTTATCCAGGTTCTTGGTTCCAAGAACCGTGATGTAAGGAATGAAGCTCTTGTCATCCTTTGCATGTTGGCTAAGGATAGTGATGATGCCAAGGTACTTCTATAAATAATCTCTTCTGGTCAGTTTATTTTTCTTTTAATTCTTTCTTGTTCTATTTTAAAGTGGCATGCAACAGATAATTTATACATTCTGCAGGTGTATTAATGAATTTTAGCAACAGCTTCTGAGCTTGTTATAGTCAGATATAAATATATGTGCAATTTTTTTAGTAATTCAAGCATCAAGATAACTAATTTTTCATTCAGGCTAGAAATTCAAAGAACCTGGAAAAGAAATTCAAAATTGATGTGTTCCACTCTGTCTTACAACCATGGACAGATTCATCATTCAACAATGACCTATAAGTCAAGAAAAAGGATCTAAAATTTATGTTTGTGTGTTCTAGACAGTGCCTGTAGAGATTCAATATGTAACACAAATTACTTGCCACAATTTTCACAAACTCTTTCTCTCTACTGAAAGCACTCTTCTCATATTCTTTTATTTGCTCTGGGATGACTGAAAGAAGTGGCTCTAAGCCATGAATTATGCACACAAAATAGTCAGGGCCATTCCCGTCCATGTCAGTGGTTAACAACACTAGTTGCCATTGAGCTTATGCATTTAAAACATGGTCTATTAACTTTCATTTAGAAATTTTGGTCATTTTATACTCCTTTGACATTTCTGAAGCCATTTCCCACCCTTAATTGCTTCTCATGTAGCTTTATAATACCCATGAGCTTTATGGTTATGTCCACTTTCTAAATCCCTTATTTTGTTACTGTATAATGATTTTTGGAAAAACATAATTTTAGGTCCCTATACTTTGCTCGCATAAAACAATGAAAAACAAAAGTATATGAACTAAAAACACTGAAGAAAAGTACAGGGACCACTAACAAAACACGAGCAAAGTACAAGGACCTAAAGTTATGTTTTTCCATGATTTTTTCAAATTGGATGCAAAAAATTTTCTATATTCATGGATATTTAATTTCTCCACACCCTAATTTTTTTTTTCAGGAAAGACTTGAAAATGTTGATAATGCAATTGAATCGATTGTCCGTTTTCTTGGACGTCGTGTGGCAGAAAGGAAGTTGGCAGCAGCATTATTATTGGAGTTATCCAAGAATGATAGGTTACGAGAACACATTGGAAAAGTCCAAGGTTGCATACTACTATTAGTGACTATATCTAGCAGTGATGACAGCCAAGCTGCCAGGGATGCTGCAGAACTACTGGAGAAACTTTCATACTCTGATCAGAATGTCTTGCAGATGGCAAAGGCAAATTATTTCAGGCATCTGTTGCAGCGCCTTTCCTCAGGTTTATTCTTCAACCTGCATGGTTTTATTCCATTTATCAATATTAATGTTTCCTTTAAGTTCTCGTTCATCTTAAATTTCTGTTGAAGGATATGTGTGTCAGTATGTAGAATAGAGCTGCCTCAGATTAGAGGGAATATCTATAAGTTGATTAGCAAATCTTCCTAGATAGCGAGGAAAAAAACCATGATCTTCCTAAATTTGTGCAGCTAGTATCTAAACCCACCCTCTAGTATGATTTTGCTGTTGTCCAGAACATCATGTGAAATCATCTGCTTTGATAAGGCATTTGAGAGAATTTTAGGGGAATGACAGTTAGGCTGCAAAAGTTTAATTTAATAATAATAATAATGATTGTTTTAAAATTTTTGGCTGAAAAATGAGTTGCAAATACTCCCTCTATTTAAAAATATAAGACATTTTTTGAGGAGTTAGAGGTTAAAAAATGTAAGACATTTTGAGTCTTATAAAGTGTAATCATTACTTTTTTTTCCAAAAGTGTCCCTATTGAATAGATTACTTTGTATTTTTTTAGGGTGAAACACCCTATTAAATAGAGGTAAATATAGAAAGATAGGGTTAGTTTAAAGACAAGTAACTTCTTTATTGAGGGGTGAGATTTGGTTAAAAATACTTTACATTTTTGAATGGAGGGAGTATCAATTTGGATAATTACAAATTCAGGATTTTCAGTTGCAAATCACTAGAAGTGACCTATGAGACTTAATGCTTGATTTGCAATTGAAATTCTCATATGGGTAATTGTTTGAATTGATATTTGCAACACATCTTGCAGCAAATTTTTATGGGATCTAACTGATATTAAATTGATCTTTTGGGGCCTAAGTGTCAATCTCCCAATAATTTTTCTTATGTTTTGAATCCCATTTGTGCCATGACATGACATTTGCATCTATGTTTTGTGGCTTTTAGCTGCAACTGATATGTTATCCTGAAGCTTGGCTCTTTGGAAATTAAGGATGCAACGAAAGCATGACTTGATAGGTGCAAAAGGCTATTGTATATGTGGGCATATTATCATATTTAGTGGGCGGGCCATTTTGGTTTATTTTATTGATGAATGTAATAACATTTATTTACTAATGGTGGTTCAATCGAATGAAAGGGACTTGATTCCCTTTAAGCAAGGTTGAGCGTTCAAGCCTTGTGAATGAAATAAAATAATGTTGGGGGAACCATCCTTCATCGAATTTGTTGGGCCTCCCAACATATGGGGCTGTGTCTATTCAAGGAAGGCTAAAGGAAAGACCTAAGAACAGAGTGAGCAAGGGCAGAATGGGAAAGGCACAGTAAATAACGATACCTGACATTGTCAGGTAGTGGAAGGGTGTAAAAGTGGGGCGGGGAAAGACAGAAAGGTAGGCAGTAGTATCAACTTAGTGGAGAGGACTTGGTCTCTCAAAAACTAGGAGGAGTGAGAGTTCTTTTGTGTTCTTCTTTCTTGTTTGATGCTTGAGGTAGGAAATAGTGGGTGAGAAGCTTATTATTGATCGTATTCTCTACATTTTCTCTTCATAATAGAGGATACCCATTGAATTTTTTCTTTATATATCTGCTATTAACCTCTTTTTCAGCTATGTTGGAGTTGGTCCTATCATTTGGTATCAGAACATGCTATTTTGGGGCATGGTTGGTACTAGAATAGAGGGAAGAGTTGAGCATTTGGAATGGGTTGCTGAAAAGATGTAAAGGAAGCAGGGGGAGACCACAGAAAAACTTACCAGTGTTGAAGCCTCAACGACGCTCATTCTTCGGCAGTTGGAGGAGCTTAAGGTGTATGAAGCCGCCAACCCACTGCCTCCACCTCTACTACCGCCTTTGGCTGAGGATGAGCTAAGAAATGAGATTAGAGATATGGAAATACTAGGGAATGCGAGGAGATAGGGTAGAATAAAGGTTTCAAGCATCGTCGCCTTAAGTTTCTTCTATTCGACGAAGAGGAACCCTTAGGGTGGATTTTCAGGGTGGAATGATATTTTATTGTGACTGGAGTTAGTGAAAATGAGAAGTTAGATGCCGTTGTGGTGAGTTCGGAGGAAAAAGCCCTGGCGTGGTTCCAATGGCTAGAAAAGCGCACTCCTGTGCATTCATGGTAGGAGTTCAAAAGAGGAACTGAGAGGTTTCATTGTGAGCAACGGAGCATGAGCATCTCTTAGCACTCAAGCAAGATGGAATAATGGTTGAATTTAGGGAGAAATTTGAATTGCTCTCAGCTCTATTAGCCATAGTACCTAATGAGATGTTTATGGGAGCCTTTTTGAACGGTTTAGACGAGGAAATTAGGGCTGACGTGTGCTTGATGCATCCAAGGAGTCTGAAGGAACTCATGGATTATGCAGGATAGGTGGAGGACAAAAATAAGATTAAGGAGAAGGTATTTAAGGAGAAGAGGAGTAGGTCTGAGAAGTCGACACTGGGCAATTGCTGGAATGATATAAAACCACTAACTCCCAAATTTAGTGCTGTCGAGACCTTTAAAAGCCCAGGGTCATCTATTGGAATGAAGTCGCAAAGGGGGAAAGTCTGCTGAAGAGTTAAAGACGTCGTTGCCAACAGTTATGAGCCCTAGCGCCTCAATGAATACTACCAATGGAAGCATGGCTCCTTGAAGAAGGCTATCAGAGGTAGAAATCAATAGGAGGCATGAATTGGGCCTATGTGAGGAGAAGTTTGGCCCAAACCATAAATGCAAAAATAAACAATTGGGGCTGATTGTGTTGGATGAGGAATATGAGGGCCTAAATGGAGAAGCAATAATGTGTGAGGAGCCCAATGAAGAAGGGGAACTTGCATATCTAGAACTATCGATGACTATAGCTGTGGGTTTGATAGGCAAAAGGACACTGAAGCTAAAAGGAAGAACCCATGGGTGAGACGTCTTGGTGCTTATCGATTGCAGTGCCACGCACAATTTTACAGCCGCTGCGCTGGTTGACAAGCTTTGTATACCTACTCAAGTCTTTGGGACGCTGTTATTGTTAGGGATGGTAGGAAAGTTGTCTCGAACTATAAGTTCCTTATGGTGGAATTAGACATACAAAGCATGCATATCAAATAGCCTTTCTATCCATTTAATCTCAAAAATGTCGACTTAATGTTGGGGGTCGAGTGGTTGGCATCACTGGGAGAAACATGCATGAATTGGAGGCAACTCTACATGAGGGTGATAGTGGATTTGCCGTAGGGGAGATCCGTCCTTAACACAATCCCAAGTATCACTCAGGGCAACAAAGAAGACGATTGGGGAGACAAGGGTAGGGTACCTAATCAAGTTAGCATCTCTGCAGCAACAAGATGAAATGTCCCAAACAATTGTACAGGGTGAGGAGGTTGAGATATTAAAAGAATTCCTTGAGGTTTGCAATCCCATCAAAGGACTTGTATTGAGGTGCACCCAAGACCATTCTATCACTATAAAAGAGGGGGTGTAATCTGCAAAGACATGCCTATACAAATATGGTCATGCTCAGAAGGCTGAAATTGAAAAACTAGCGAGAGAAATGTTGATAGCAGGAGTGATTCAACCCAGTACGAGTCCTTTCTCTAGCCTGGTGTTATTGGTGAAGAAAAAAGATGGGAGCTAAAGGTTTTGTGTCGATTACTGAGCCCTAAACAATATTACAGTGCTTGACACATATCCAATTCTGGCTATAGACGAGTTGCTGGATGAGTTGGGAGGAGCCAACATCTTCACCAAGTTGGACCTTAAGTTATCATCAAATCCACATCAAGGAGGGAGATGAGCACAAGATGGCCTTCCGTACCCACAATGGTTAATATGAATTCAAGATTATGCCATTTGGTTTAATAAATGCTCCTTCTACTTTTCAATCTCTTATGAATGATATTTTTAGAGACTATTTGTGGAAGTTTATACTTGTATTCTTTGATGATATACTTGTATTCTTTGATGATATACTTGTGTATAGCAAAGATAAAAAATCTCATCAGGAACACTTAAGGAAGACCTTGGAGCTGCTCAAACAACATCAATTAGTGGTAAACCCAAAAAAATGTGCGTTCATATAATCTCAGATTGATCCTTGGGTCACATCATTTCTGCTGAAGAAGTGAAAGCTGATCCTTCAAAAATCACAGCAATGTTGCAGTGGCTAGAGCCAAGGAACTTGAGGGGGTTGAGGGGTTTCTTGGTCTCAAGGGGTATTATCGGAAGTTTGTGAAGGGATACAGCCGAATAGCAGTGCCACTAACTCATTTACTTAAAAAAGATTCCTTCAAGTGGGATGACAAAGTGCAAAAGTCATTTGAAGAACTCAAGACTGCCATGACCACTTTACTTGTTTTGGCAATGTCAGATTTTAGCCAACCGTTTGAAGCGGTAACGGATGCATCTGGAAAGGGAGTGGGGGCTGTTTTGATGCAAAAGGGATGCCCAATAGCATATTTCAGTCAAAAATTATCAGAAAAATGTTGCTCAAAATTCTGTTTATGAGTGGGAATTAATGGTGATCGTTTTGGCGGTCAAGAAATGGCAACATTACCTGTCCAGCGAGCTATTTATTATTAAAATGGACCAGAGAGCACTTAAGTATCTTCTTGAGCAACGAATAATAGCTCCTGATCAGAAATAGTGGGTGACCAAACTTATGGGATACAAATTCCAGATCCAGTACAAACCTGGCAAAGAAAATAATGCGGCAGATGCATTGTTGAGATGTGATGTAGACATAGAATTGAGAGCTGTATCTATGTGGCAATATGAAGGAATTGCTGAGTTAGTTGCTGAAATTTCAGAGGATGTATGCTTGCGTGAAATTATGCAGCAACTTATCGAAGGGAAGGAAGTACCGAAAGGATACACAATGAAGCAGGGAGTAATTTACTTTGAAGGAAGGCTAGTGTTGCCTAAAAATTCCCAGAAAATTCAAGAGTTGATTAAGGAATTTCATGATTCACCAATGGGAAGGCATTCAAAGCATTTGAGAATCTACAAGCGTCTTGCTGCAGTGGTATTTTGGGAACTTATGAGGAAAGACATTCTGGAATATGTGGCAAAATGTGGAGTTTGCCAACGCAACAAGTATGAAGCTTTAAGTCTAGTTGGGCTTCTTCAACCGTTGCCAATTCCTCAAGCATCATGGGAAGATATTAGCGTGGATTTTATTGGGGGGTTGCCTAAAAGTGCCTGGTCCGATACAATTTTGATGGTGGTAGATCGCTTAACAGAGTATGGGCTTTTTCTTCCTCTTTTGCACCCCTATTGCGCAACTGGTCAGAAAGGTCATTAAACTACATGGGTTCCCTAACTCTATTGTATTTGATAGAGATCGTGTCTTTATAAGTCTGTTTTGGAAAGAATTATGCAGCCTGGTTGGAACTACTCTAAAATTTAGCTCTTCTTATCACCCCAAGACTGACGGAGAAACCGAGGTGGTTATTAGAACCCTAGAGACTTATCTGAGGTGCCTTGCTTAGGTCTAAAATGTTACCTTGGGCAGAGTATTGGTATAATAGTATCTATCATAGTGCTATTGAGACGACTCCTCTCAAAGCTTTATATGGGAGGGGCCCCCTTGCACTACTGAAATAGAAAGACCAGCCCTCACGTGTTCAAGCTGTGGATGATGCAATTCAGGAAAGAAATCGGATTCTGGAAGAACTCAAGAAACAACTTGAAAAGGCTCAAGTAAAGATGAAGAATCAAGCAGACAAGCATCGAAAAGAAGTTCAATTTGAGGATGGGGATCTTGTTTACCTCAAGTTGAAGCTGTATAGGTACCAATCCTTAGCCAAGAGGCCCAATGAGAAGCTGCCACCCAGGTTTTATGGCCCTTATAAGATCTTGGAGAGGGTTGGAAAGATAGCATATAGGCTGGAGTTGCCTGCAATAGCTCAGATACTTAATGTATTCCATGTTTCTCAACTGAAAAGAGCTCTCAAAACCTCAGTTACTGCACATCTCACAAAAGAATTGGAATTACAAGTTCAGCCAGAGGAGATCAAAGAATTGAGGAAGGACAATAGTGGGAAGCTTCAACTCCTAGTCAAATGGAAGGACCTGCCAGATCATGAAAATACTTGGGAAGATGCTGAAACTATTAAGACACAATTTCCCCAATTTCACCTTGAGGGCAAGTTGTTGCTTGCAGAAGGGGGGAATGTTGGGCCTCCCAACATATGGGGCCGTGTCTATTCAAGGAAGGCCAAAGGAAAGACCCAAGAACAGAGTGAGCAAGGGTAGAATGGAAAAGGCACAGTAAATAATGATACTTGACACTGTTAGGTTGTGGAAGGGTGTAAAGTGGCGTGCGGAAAGACAAAAAGGTAGGCAGTAGTATCAACTTAGTGGAGAGGATCCGGTCTCTCGAAAACCAGGAGGAGTGAGAGTTCTTTCATATTCTTTGTTGTTTGATGCTTGAGGTAGGAAATAATGGTGAGAAGCTGATTAGTGATTGTATTCTCTACATTTTCTCTTTGTAATAGAGGATACGCATTGAATTTTTTCTTTATATATTTGCTATTAACGTCTTTTTCGACTATATTGGAGTTGGTCTTATCAGAATTCGGCAATGCTTAAATTTGATGCATTATTGTTGCAAATAAAATGATTTTTAAAAAATATTATTTATTTGGAAGTAATGACTGATTTCTTATCAATTTTATCATCTCATAATTTAAAGCTAAATAAATGGTATTCATGCCTCTAATACAAAATATTGAAATTTTTTGACAGAATTTTGAATAGAAATATACTGAATCTGAACTACTTTTTTAGAACTAGTGAAACTCTGTAAAACATGTCTTTAGGTTGAATTTATCAATCAAGAAATTTCATGTTTTAAGATTATGAAATGTTGATTTTTTAGCAAATAGATAGTGTATGTGACGAAGTGGCTAAATCTGAGTTACAAGCCATATCTTAAAGAATCGGTCCAGTCAGAACGTCTACTTCTAATTGTATAATGTGTGAAGCACCTTAATCTTGCCAACCAAAACAACAGCTGATAACAATCCCTTTACTATTTATTTCTTTCTTTATGCAGGACCAGATGATGTAAAATTGCTTATGGCAACAACTCTAGCAGAAATGGAGTTAACCGATCACAATAAAGAGTCTTTATTTTCAGGTGGTGTGCTGGATCCTCTGCTTCACTTGGTCTCGCACGGTGATCCTCATGTGAAAACCATGGCTGTTAGAGCTCTTCGGAACCTATCCAGTTTAAAGAAAAATGGACTGGAAATGATTCGACAGGGAGCCGTGCGCCCATTATTTGGGCTTCTTTTCCATCGAAGCTTACCACCATCAAGTTTGTGGGAACATGTAGCTGCCATAATCATGCAACTTGCTGAATCAACCATTGCTCAAGATAGCCAGGCGCCAGTTTTGTTATTTGAATCTGATGACGATGTTTTTAACCTCTTCGCCTTAATTAGATTCTCAGGGCCTGAGGTGAAGCGAAAGATTATCCAGACCTTTTATGCCTTGTGTCAATCCACATCAGCTCCATACATCAAGACCAAGCTGATAGAGGTATGCGTCTTACTGAAGCTAAATATACTAACTCCTGCGGCTAAAAATGTTTTTCTAGTCTTTTAAATAGGTAAAGTGGTCAATAGAGTCAAAGGATGGCGTGTAACATTAATAGGCATCATCATCGAACTTGTATGAGGACCATGTTACTGATATAAAGCTAAAGATGAAAATGACAGCAAACATCTTGCATTTGGCTAAGCATAAATATTCATTTAATAACTTTGGACCAAGTTTTCAGTCAATAGCCAACTTTTTCCTGATTGGGCTTCACGGATATCAGGTGTATTGATGTGACTTTCTACCACATGAAAACAACCCTTGTTAAATTCTAGCCATATATGTTATATGCTCTAACAATAGAACATCCACAAGGTGATGGCATTTAAGGGTTGTGATTCGATGTTTGTAAGCACTATATCAAGTTTAGCATGCTAAAAACTGTGCTATTTGACTCAGAAGTGAGAAAAAAACACAGTTGTGATTCATGATTCCTTCATCTCTTCAATCTGTATTCTTTGATATTCCTTGACTCATTGGTGTTAATTGTTAGTGTAAAATCACAAACCTGAACCTGCCCTATGACCTTTGTGATATAAACTACAGATGAACTATGAATCATCAGGGCAAAATTAGTTAAAGCAAATACCATTTAAACTGTTTTTGTCTCCCTTTTTAGTTTCTATATTTCCATCATGGTTCTCATGAGCTTTTGCTGAGTAAATCCTCTATAGACTTGAGCATACAAAAGATCAGGTTATCACAGGTCTCTCTGTGTTGAAGTAGTCTCTGATGAAAGTTTCTTGAGTTATCAGCTGCAACTTTGCATTACTCACTTCCTGAGAAGTTCGTGGCATTCAACAATGAGATTTACTATTTATATGATGCATGCACATTTCTGGATGCCCGGATGATTAAAAACAATATAAGAGTTACTATTTGTTTCTTCATAGCAATGCTGATGCCATTGATATCATACTATTGTTTGATTCTGTGAGTTTGAAAATGCAATATTCTTATTCTTACCCATCAAACAGCTCATAGTTATGCCCTATACCAACAAGTGATGTATTAACTGTTGAGGATTGAAGTCTATAAAGCTGCCTCTAAGAAAAATTTCACTCACTTTAGTCTCCAAATTTAATTAACGTATTTAATATGTTATGATCAGTTTTTTGCTGTATCGCAATATATTGTAGTTAAATTAATTTCCATATTTATCTGCAGTGCTCTGCTGTTCAAGAACTGGTTCCATTTTGTGAGAATGAAAACCTTGATCTACGAGCAAGTGCTGTGAAGTTGTTGTCATGCTTGATTGCAAGCTGCGATGAGGCAAGCATTCTGGAGAATGTAAACCAGAGGAGTTGTGAGAATTTAGTGCGGATCCTTAGATCTTCTTCAGATGAAGAAGAACTTGCTTCTGTTATGGCCATAATATGCCTTCTTCCAGAAATTCCTCAGATCTCTCAATGGCTTCTAGATGACGGTGTACTGCCCATCATTTATAAGTATATCCAAGAAGGGAAAGATAGGGATCTCCAAAAGAATAACTTAGTAGAGAATTCTGTGGGTGCCCTATGTCGTTTCACAGTTCCAGCAAACTTGGAGTGGCAAAAAAGTGCAGCGGAAACTGGGATTATACCTATTTTAATACAGTTGCTCGAATGTGGAACCAGATTGGCGAAACAGCGTGCGGCGTTGTCTCTTAGCCAATTTTCAAAGAGTTCTGTTAGGCTGAGCAAGCCAGTTTCCAAGCACAAGGGACTCTGGTGCTTCTCAGCTCCTGCAGGAATGAGCTGCTTGGTTCATGGAGGAATCTGTTCTGTCAAGTCATCATTTTGCCTTGTAGAAGCTGATGCTGTGGGACCTCTGACAAGGACTCTGTGGGATTCTGATCCCAGAGTTTGTGAGGCTTCTTTGGATGCACTCCTGACTTTGATTGAAGGTGAGAGACTGCAGAGTGGTAGTAAAGTGCTTGAAACAGCAAATGCCATACCAGCAATTATAAAGTTTCTCGGTTCCTCATCTGCTGAATTGCAGGAAAAATCTCTCAATGCTTTGGAGAGGATTTTTCGGTTAATTGAGTACAAACAGAAGTATGGAGCCTCAGCTCAAATGCCTCTAGTTGACTTAACTCAGCGTGGTAATAGTAGTATGAGATCAATGGCGGCTAGAATATTGGCACATTTAAATGTGCTTCATGACCAGTCTTCTTATTTCTGAAGAGAAGTGCTGGTTCAAATTCATGTACGGAAGAGCTAACAAGGATCATAAAAAATCTCCCATAAAATCAATGGCTGTGAAACTAAATGCTTGAGCAGGAAGTGGCCATATGTTAAACAGGGAACATTGCCGGTTCTGCAGCTTGGTTTCACCTGAAAAGAGAATCCAACTTTCTGATGTTCTTGAATCTGGTGACCAGGTTTCCAAGGTCAGAAACTTTGTATACGGGATGAGGCTATAGCTTACAAAGAATCCATAGATCTTGTACCGAACATGGCTGACCATCAGTTTGGGTAGTTTGAGGTGTGGAAAAGAACCATTGGGCATGTAGGGAATTATTTGGTTGCATTGCCTTATTTGTTGGCTGTAAGAAGGGAAAAATCCTTATTTCTGGTATAGTTGTATTTTTTATATATTTTAAGACACGCTGTGATTCTTCTCGTATAGCAAGAGCAACAAGATGTGACAATCAGCACAAGATTCATCTTCCCTTGTGATGCCCACCATGACTTATCAATGTTAGCTATCTGTGAATATGAGGAAGAATTGTTTCAGAATCTCATCACTCTTTTCGGCATGTTTGATTGTATATAACAAAATGGATTTCCTTTCGACGATCAAAAGCAGACAATAGTATGGTTCGTTCTTTCGTGGAAACTTTCATGCGTCACAAAGTCTGTGGCAAACTACTTCAACTAGCTTTCTTGCGAAGTCAAAATTTAAGAAAATCCCACCAACTTCTTTTGCATGTTTGAGGGAAAAAAAGCCATGTCCTATTCCTAGTAAATTTCTGCATGTGATAGGATTTTTTTAATTAATAAATTTTATGGATTTTGAAAATTTTAAATTAGCTGGAATAAACAATATGCGATATTGCGATACACGTCAAATATAAATTAAGTGTAATAATTTACTTTATTCCTTGAAGGGAAAAGGGACATTATTTATATTAAAAAAAGGGACATTATAACAGACATGTATGTAAGAGTTATAATAGTTAGAGTCAAGAGTCCAAGGGCGAGGAGATATATAATAAAGATAAAACAGTGTGAAGTTATATATTTACTTTCTATTATTATGATCATAATTAAAAACAAGTTATACATATTGGCATGATAAAAATCAAAATTTTGCGATGGAGAACTTTCCCGAAAAACATTTGCATCAAGATGTTCGTCTTTCATATCTAGTCAACGGGAAAATCTTAAAGCAATTGCTTTTAACAAATAAAAATAGCTAATGCATCCCAATTTGCATTTCCAACACGAAAATCAGTGAAGCCTTTTAGTGGAAACTCCGTGAACAGAAAATGTACAAAGTTTCAAACTTTCGGCCAAATCCAAAAGGCTCTTATGAACCAACTGAAAGAAATCCATGCCTATACTCTCAGAAATGGCATAGACCATACCAAAATTCTCATCGGGAAGCTACTTGAGATCCCAAATCTCCAATATGCACATTTGCTCTTTATCCATACACCCACGAAGCGAACTGCGTTTATCTACAACAAGCTCATCCAAGCCTTCTCTCTCCATGGACAACAACGTCAAAGCTTATCGCTTTACTCTCAAATGCTTCTTCAAGGATGCCCACCAAATGAATACACTTTCAACTTCCTCTTTTCAGCATGCACTTCTTTGTCTTCTTCTTCCCTTGGACAAGCCCTCCATACCCATTTCATCAAATCGGGTTTTGAACTCGACCTGTTTGCCTCCACGGCTTTGCTTGATATGTATGCTAAGATGGGTATGTTGGAGTTTGCACGCAAGGTGTTTGATGAAATGCATGTGCAAGAGATACCCACTTGGAATGCTATGATTGCAGGCTATGCAAGGTTTGGGAATATGGTGGGGGCAGAGGAATTGTTTTTGTTGATGCCTCCTAGGAATGTGGTTTCATGGACGGCCATGATTTCTGGCTATTCTCAGAACAAACAATATGAGAAGGCCTTGGAGTTGTTTATGAAAATGGAAAACGAGAAGGTTTTAAAGCCCAATGAAGTAACCTTAGCAAGCATTTTACCAGCTTGTGCAAATCTTGGGGCGCTAGAGATTGGGCGGAGGATTGAAGCCTATGCTAGAAAAAATGGATTCTTTAAGAATGTATATGTGAGCAATGCTATATTGGAGATGTATGCCAGGTGTGGTGAGATCGATATTGCTTGGCGTTTGTTTGACGAGATTGGAAGTCACAGAAATTTATGCTCTTGGAATTCAATGATCATGGGTTTGGCTGTTCATGGACAATGTGCTATGGCTCTTGTGCTTTATGATCAAATGCTAGTAAGCAGTTATTTCATTAAGCTCTTATTTACCTTCATGGCTAGCATTGTTATGATTTTTAGCATAATTTTGAAGCTTGTGGTTCTAGTTTCTAATTGATGAAAATTTCTTTGGTAGATCAAACCAATTATTAAGAAATATGAAATATATAGGGTATGCTTCGAAGAAAGATGTATTCAATTGTTTTGTGACTCACATTCAAATAGGTCAGCTGATTACGTGGTGAGCATTGTATGCTGCGCCCTTTTCCTATCTGTTCTTAGTAGGGCCTAAATCACAACTCTCCTATCTGATGGAAGCGTTGACGTGTTTCTGTTTTACTGACAACGACAGAGAGAAGGAACCACGCCTGATGATGTGACATTTGTGGGACTCCTCATGGCATGCATCCACGGAGGTTTGGTTGAAAGAGGCAGGCAAATCTTTAATGCAATGACAAATGATTTCCACATTATACCCAAACTACAACACTATGGTTGCATGGTTGATCTCCTAGGCCGTGCTGGGAAATTGAGGGAAGCTCATGAAACCATACTAAGTATGCCGATGAAACCAGACTCAGTAGTATGGGGTGCTCTTTTGGGAGCTTGCAGCTTCCATGGAAATGTTGAGGTGGCTGAGATAGCAGCTGAATCACTTTTTGCCCTTGAACCTTGCAACCCAGGCAACTATGTCATTCTCTCCAACATTTATGCATCAGCTGGTCAATGGAATGGAGTTGCAAAGCTCAGGAAAGTGATGAAGGGTGGCCAAATAACAAAGGCAGCTGGGTATAGTTTGATTGAAGAGGGAGGCCAACTTCATAAGTTCATCGTGGAAGATAGATCACATTCAAAAAGTGAGGAAATATTTGCTTTACTAGATGGAGTTTATAGAATTATAAAGCTTCAAAGAAGCACATTTGATTTTCATTCTATACTTGATTTGAACAACTACTCATAGTATGTCATCATGGTGGATTCCCCAAAACATAATTGCAGAAACGAACTGCGTGTGTGTCGATTCCTATTTGATCTATAAAATGATTTACAAGATCAGTTTGAAGAAAATGGAAGACTTTCCGTTGAGAAAAAAAGTTGGCTGGTTTATAAATGATAGACCAATCAATCATAAAGGTTCACATTATTATGTCATATACATTCTTAAATGCAATCCTCTTGATTATCTTTAGCTCTTAGACACTCCAGCCCCATAGATGTTGAGGGTCACTTATATTCATATTCTTATATAATTTTCTTTTAAACACTGCTATAGACTACTGATCTTTTGTAAATCAAATTTAAGAATTTCTTCTTTTCTTATTGTGCTTAGAGGCTTTCATTTCATGCATGTTCATATAGATCTTGAAAGGTGACTAAAGACTACTTCATAATCTCAAATAAGAGGAATTAATATTTTTTAAACTACCTTCTTTTAGATCAGATTTAAAAAAATTAACTTTTGATTCAAAAAAGAAAAAATAACTATGTCGTTTTGCATGTTAAGAGTGGAGTTCAACTTACTCGACATATATCAAACAAACTGGTCAACTCTACTATTATAACCCAAGAGCAAGTAACAAAATATTCACAACTTAGTGTGACTCGTTATAAATTTTATTAACACATAGATAAATTTTTATTGACTCAACTAGCATTTCTTTATCGTAAAGCAATTGAAAAATATGTTAAAATTAGTCCTATAATGATTGTAAGAAGTGACCTATTTCCAGCCACCTACAAATGAACTATACTTTTTCTCCCAAAGAACAAATTTATCAAAGAATTTGGTTTGATACACCCATTAATCTCTTGTGCTGCTTTTTTCAATGACCATCAAAGACTTCTTCATGCTGTTTTCTCCTTTCTTGCTGTCCTCCTCCTCCTCACCACTAATTTCAGAACCTCATCAACAAAAATTACAGGTAAAGAAACTAGGATGACCAAAAACCATTCTTTTAGACTTAGTGGAACAACACCAAACACATCTGCAAGGATTGGAATATAGATGATCAGGCAATGGAGTCCTAGTGATATTGTTGTGGCTATCAAAAGCCAAGGGTTCCTCCATGGTGGCATTTCATACAAGCTGTTCTCTTCAGATAAAGCATTGAAAGAGTTAAACATCTCAATCGCCACCAAGACTGAGAGAGATAGAGTCATAGCCTTCACTTTACCAACTGAAAAGTAATCACATGGATTTGAGAACGTGATCAGGCGACCACCACTTACTTCAAATGGAGAAGCAGTAAAATTTGACCATGAATGACACTCTCCCCAGTTGCGAAGCTGAGACAGTTCTATGATTGTGTGCCCATCACTGGCCAGATTGATGCCGAGAAAAGATGCCTGTGTGTACCACAACACAAAAATGCCCACTGTTGCAATTCCTACATAGGAACCAATTACCTGCCAGGAACATTGTCATGAACGTGTCATTTAAACAAGGTTTGATCACAGATTAAAGGACTGATAACATGAAGGTTTTATATATCATGAAAACCAAAAAGATATGCTATAACCAACAAATTGAAACTATGCATAATCTTAGATGAAAAATGAGACAAACTTGAGCATTGTTTACCAGATAACGAAAAAGAACCCATGAACTGATGAGAGGTTCATCAGTTTTACGAGGTGGCTTTCGCATTATATCAACATCAGCTGGGTTAAAACCCAAAGCTGTTGCAGGAGGACCATCAGTAACCAAATTCACCCACAGAAGTTGCACAGGTATCATACATTCTGGGATCCCCAGTGCAGCAGTCAAGAATATAGATATCACTTCTCCAACATTGGATGATATCATGTATCTGATGATCACAAAAATGTGAAGAATTTGTCTTGATTAGTCAGGAGACAGAAATTCCTAGGTAGGACAAGCTAATCATCAATAATATTTAACCATGTCAAAGACAAATTCCACTGAAAAGTGTGCATTACATGTTAATATATTTAATCATGATTAGTTTTTGGAAAGAGACATACCTAATGAAGGCTTTCATGTTATCATAAATAGAGCGACCCTCAGAAACAGCTGAAACAATGGTACTAAAGTTGTCATCTGCAAGCACCATATCTGAAGCTTCTTTTGCAACCTGCAAACAATAGTAAAGATAATCAAAGCAGAACCAGGGTATGAGCACTTAACTTTTTAGGTGCTTTAACTCGAAAACAGTACCATTAATTTCTAGCTCTAAAACAAGTGATGTGTCTAACAAGCAGACAAATAAATTTCAACTTCACCTCAGTTCCAGTTATGCCCATGGCAATCCCTATGTCAGCAAGTTTAAGAGCAGGAGCATCATTCACACCATCTCCAGTCATTGCAACAATCTCTCCCATCTCCTTCAGTAACCTCACGATCTCTTGTTTGTGTCTAGGCTCAGCTCGAGAGAAAACCTTGGCTCCAGGTCTTGACAACATTTTAACTTGTTTTGAAGAAGAAAGAGAGTTGAACTCCTTGCCTGTCATACTTCTCTCGGTAAGATCCTCTTCTCCGGAGAACAGATTAATTTCCCGACAAATAGCCTCTGCTGTGGACTTGTTATCTCCAGTTATTACCATAACTCTAATACCAGCTTCTCTGCAATCCTCAATTGCCCTGTGAACTTCTCCACGAGGAGGATCCTGATAAATGTAGTAATATATTAAACATCCTCCAAAGAAGATGTATAACAAACTGCAAAAAAACTAAGGCATGAACTTACTCTTAGACCAACAACACCAACAAATACTAGATCACTTTCGATGGATGAGTAGCAAGTAGGATCAAGCAATTTCTTGTGAGCAGGATGATTTTCAGTATAGTAGTCTGAAAATTCACCCAAGTCATCCTTATATGCCAAACCCAAGCAACGCAATCCTTTTGAACTCATCTCTAGGAGTCTTGAAAACAGTAGTTCTCTACATTGCTCATCAATTGGAACCAGGGATCCATCAGCTAGTTGCACATGTGAACTACGTTCAAGTAAACTCTCAACAGCTCCCTATAATACAAGTAAAACCACTTGAAATCTTAAATAAAAGCAATAGATAAAATCAGGCATCAAAATATGTTACAGTTGTGGAATGGGGTTGTCAAAATAACGGCCAGTTTACATCTAGAACGTATCTTGATGTAGGAGTTGGGTCAAGTCACCTTAACCAGAAGCCGATTTCGTCCAGTTGGTTCACGAACAATAACACTCATTGACTTCCTAATTCGATCAAACTCTAATGTGGCAACTCTTTTGGATCTTCTTGTCCACCAATCACAACTTCCTACACAAGCAAACCAAAATTGCACATTGTTATTCCAAGTCACCTTGACAGTCCATCTAATCTATAAAGTCCACTTGCTCACCTAACTTAACAGTGTTGCTATTATTCAAGTAGCTTGCAGCAACTTCTGTGTCCCAAATTCTGTTCCTTGCCTTGTTATCTGGAACTCCCATCTTTTCAACCAAAACCTTGAGAGCTGCTTCAGTGGGCAAACCTGTAGCCCGGAAAAGGCGACCATCAAAATGAATCCCAGCATCATTACAAATGGCACATATTTCTGCCATGGCCTGCAAGTTCGCATCCATGTTATAGCAAGTCCAATCCACAATTCCTCCATCCCTAGGATCATAAGTTGAGCCTTCAACACAGATGACTCGAGAAGCAGTAGTTTTTCCTCCCAAAGTAAAGAACTCTCTTACAGACATCTGATTTGTTGTCAGAGTACCAGTTTTATCTGAACAAATAACAGTCGTGCATCCCAGAGTTTCTACACTTGGAAGCTTTCGCACAATTGCATTCTTTTGTGCCATTTTTCTTGTACCCAGGGCTAAACAAGTGGTGATGACAGTGGGAAGGCCTTCAGGGATTGCAGCTACAGCCAGGGCAACAGCAATTTTGAAGTAATAGGTGCACTTCTCAAAAGAAAATTTGATGTTTGAAGGCCATCCACCCACAAGCTCCCAGGAAAGGAAATTTTTGTAGTTTATAACCCAGACAACAAGGCAAACCAGTCCAATTGCAGTGGTAAGCTGCCCACCAAACTCATCCAGCTTCTTCTTTAAGGGGGTGTCACTGTCCTCCAAAGAAGCATCATGAATTTGCTTCTGTATCTTTCCAATTTCAGTGTTCATCCCAGTGGTGACAACAATACAGAGACAGCTCCCATTGACAACAGTGGTGCCTGCAAAAACCATATTTTCCTTGGCCTGCAACTCACAATCATCCATGAAAATAGGATTTGTGCCCTTCAAAACAGGCATTGCTTCTCCAGTTAGAGAGCTTTGTTCAACTCGCAATGTTGAGGTTTTCAGAGCAGCAACTCTCATGTCCGCAGGCACTTTATCTCCTACATGCAATTCCACAATATCACCAGGAACAAGCTCTCGTGCAGGCAAATCAGGCACAAAATACCCATCTCTTAACACTTTTCCAGATTCACACTGCAATTCTTTGAGAGCTTCAAGTGCTTTCTCAGCGTTGTTCTCTTGCCAAACTCCAACAATGGCATTAAGTACTAAAATCAAAATTATCACGAGTGGCTCCACATAAGCTTCAAACCCAGACTCCCCTGATTCGCTTCCATGCAAATAAGCCAGAATGAATGATATAAAAGCTGCAACCAGAAGAATCTTCACAAGAATGTCATCAAATTGCTCTAGTACTAGTTGCCACAAGGGCGTCCCATTCTCTTTTGCTAACTCGTTCCAACCATATCTCTCGCGCCGCTTCTCAACCTCGAAGGTATTCAAACCCTTTTCGAGTTTAACGCTGTATTCTCTCAAGCACTGTTCAACAGACCATGACCATGCAGGGAATGGTTTATCTTCGATTGAAGCTTTCATCTGGAAATGTATTAAAGTTCGCTACAAAAAAGAAAATAAAATGCTGTAAGCAGATCAGACACAGATAAACAATCTGTATGAACCTGGGGAAAATTTGCAAAATCTATGATTTTAAGGTGTGCATCAGTAACCATCACATAAATTCAAAAATGAAAACCGTTTTCTGTTGGTTTTTTTTTTTCAAAAAAAAACTTTCTTAGGATGAATTAAATTAAACCGAATTAATTAATTGCGAGAGAAAAATCAGTGGCAATAATGGGTGGCCATCCAGACTATGAGACCATCTACGAATCTGAGATGGTTCCATTATTTTACTCTGGTCCCAATAAAGCTCTTTGTGATCCATCACGGATGAAAGTAACCATAATATTTGAAGTTTTCTTGTGAGAAAGGGTGGAAAACAATGTTTTTTCTTTTTAATATGAAAAAATAAAACAATGTTGTAATAGATGAAAACGATAACAAAAAATTCCATGAAGCGTGTATTGCCCATGATGTATAAAAGGGAATTTTTCAGAAGAAAAGGAAGGAAACTAAAAATCTATGAATTTAAGTCCTGCATAGAATCAGTATTTTTTTTTTTTTTTTTGGAAGAAGAAGAAGAGGGAAGCAGTTTCAAAACCAGAGCAGAGGGAAAACAAACAAAACCCAGAAAGCTTTTCTACAAACCACAGAGAAACAGACTCAAGGGAAACGAACTTCCCAGTAAAACAGACTTGAACCTCAGCCAAGCCAAAAACGTTACAGTAAGCACCTCACAAAAGAACACATACCTGGACCATCCACGAAAGCTGAGAGCGTTATAAAACAACAGACTGTGGGTGGTTTAATTTGCTAGAAAAGAAGGTAACTTGTAGCATTAGAAGAAGCAGAGGCGTCAAAGTCTACAGCTTGGAAACGAAGCAAAGACCAATAAGTCCTGGGATTCCATAAGAAAACCTTTTGTCCAAGAAACATAGAATTTTCCTGTAGTTTAAAGGCCTACTCTTATCTTTGAATGCAAACCCTTTGGAATTTCTATCTACTTTTTTTTTTAAGCTTCAAGCTATTGCAAACGCAGAATTTTGGAATCTTTTTCTTCAAAATTCCTCATGCGCTGTGAGAGCGACCAAGGGTCAGTCCGTTACTTAATTTTGAGAAAGTGGGATTTTGAATTTACGGAATAGCCCTGAAATCAGGAACAACCTCAGGCTTGAGTACGACGGTACGAGCCTTTGACTTTTTCCCGCATCTTTTGGTAATTCACCTGCTCAAGCGCAGCAATGTGCAACGGTATGCTCGGCCTAACAGATCGTGGTAAATTTTTTTCGGGGGTCCAAGGTCGTGGTAAATGTCGCCAACAAATTAAACCAATAGCATATAATCTATGTTTATATGGAACTGTGAGGTGTCAACAATATTTTGAATATAATTATTTTTAATAAAAAATTAATTATTGACAACCAAAATGAATAAATTTTAATGTCGACTTAAAGACTTGGTTGATATACAATTCATAAGTATCTTTACAAGCATTTTTAAGTTTGAATGTTTACCCTGACCTATTAAGTTGTTAGGACCTAACTTATTTAAATTTTTTTGTTATAAAAAAAAATATAATACTCTTCCCAACTCTTTTTATGAAACTAGAAAATTAGTGTGATTTTATATATTTTTAACTAAATACCAAACTTTTATTAATATATAATTTAGTTAAAAACACCTTATATATAAATGCGCAAGGAGTATCTCATTGTAATTAAGAAAAAAGAGTTAAATAATTATTTTTTCATAAAAAGAAAAAATTCAAGTTACCTTTATTAACTACATTATATTTAAAATATAATTTTTCTTTTATATGTAACTTTTTCCTCTATTTATAAAAAAATATTAAGAGGTAAAACTGAAAAAATAATTAATCACCTATTTTTCATGAAAAAAACTTATTAAATAGACGATCAATTACCTATAAAATGTGATTCATGTGTATGATTGTCGGTACTACTATTTATCAATTACATATATTGCATGACAAAAAAAATAACAATTAAATTAAGAGAAATTTAAGATGTGCACATGAAAGTAGGTTTTGTTTTAAAAGTTGTTACGTTATGCTCCAAACTATGTGTCCTCATTCCTCAATTACCAACTGAATTAGTTTAACATAGAATACTGGAGGCACACAGGAAAATAAAATTATATTTTATAAATTAAAATTAAAAATTTATGTGTTACGTGCTAGAAATTAAAATTTAAATAACACCTTGTTTTATTTTAAGTTTTTTTTTATCTATGCACATGTTGAAAACATAAATATCATACTCCTCTGTTTAAAAATATAATGCATTTTTAACCAAATATCACCCTCAATAAAGTAGTTACCTATCTTCCAACTAAATCTATCTTTTCATATTTATCCCTATTAACACCCTACAATAAATATAAAGTCATTATTAATAGGGGTATTTTTTTTAAAAAAATAATGATTACAACTTGAGTGACTAAAAATGCCTTATATTTTTTTAACATTTAACTCTTCAAAAAATGCCTTACATTTTTTAACGAAAGAAGTACCTAATAAATATTAAAAAATTTATACATAAAAAATTCGTTTCTCTATGTAAGTTAAAATTATAAAGAATAAATTATTATTCTAAGATGTGTTATTCAATCATAAATTAAAATTTGAATAATAAAAAATTTTATTTTATAACATGTTATCTAGCTTTGTATTTTATTCTACCAATTTTTATCTTATACATATAAAAAATACAATCAATATATGATAGCTTTTTTACCTATCATTTTTTACCATAAGCCACATGATCCTTCAATGTGTGAACAAATTTATTAATTTATAATTTATTATCTTGCATAGTTTAAAGATAAAATAAAAAAATATTTTATGTAGAATTTGTTGTTCCATGTGAATTTGAAAAAATAAAAATTATCCATTAAATTGTACACATATTTTTTATAATTTATATAAATTAAGTTTGTAGTTTCATTGCAGTAAAACAAACTATTTTACAATTTATTATTTAAATTTATATTTTATAATACAATTGGTTATTTTATACATATGCAAAATGCAAGCAATAAATGATGAGTAAATTTTCAACCTTCACAAAAAATATTAGGTTTTATATTATTTTATTATTACGAATCTCATAATCACAAATATTTTTTATCATAAGTCTCATACTTTTTTTGATAAAAAAATACGTTTTTTTTTTGTTATAAGTCCTACATAAACTCTTACTTGAGAAGAATTATTTTCTTCAAAGAAAATTATGGTTACTGTTTTTCGGGGAAAAAAATATTTTCTTTAAATGAACAGTAATCATGATGCACTTCAGCACTCTACATATGTTGATATGCATATATTCGTTGAGGGCATGATAGCTTCTTTATAAAAATTTTCTCTCACCTTTAAAAAGTATTAGAAGATGTGTTCCCAAATATATTCCTAATAAATAATAGATCATAGTAAAACACTCGTTCATTTTCGTTCTTCTTTGTCGTTCATGTAGGGGCCAATGTATGACCGAGTGATCTGGATCCCCAACGACAAGGACAGCCTGTTAATGAAATAAATTTATTTGGATTTCTTTGATAATATATAGGATTTCATGAAACAATCTCATAGTCTTCTACTGTTTTGGATCTGTTTATGACCGTTTGGGGACAGCCTGTTATTAATGGGGGAAAATAAATAAATAAAGTCAATCGCAGTATCATAATAAGGCCATTTCTAAAATCATAAATCCTCTCCAACAATATTTAAGTAAGTGTTTCGGTATTTTTTTTAACAAATTCTTTTTTATGCATTATTACTAGATTAATAAAAATTGAAAAAAATACTGAAAAATGCACAAGATCACGAATACTACTCTCTGTTGACTTTCTCGAGTTTAAATTATAAGATACTTTTAATTATATTTTATATATCAATAAAATCTAAGTTATTTTCCTCATAAAAAAAACATGTATTTTCCCTGTTTGTCCTTAACCTTAACTAGCATCTAATACATTAAATTAGAATGAAATCCCAAAAAACCCACATTAATGAATACAAAATTGGAAAATTAACATCTAAAAATATCAAGTGCTTTATATTTTGGAACCAAATTCAGTTGAGAAATAATGTCTAACAATTCGGACCCGATGGAATATCTAATTATTATAATTTAATAACAATAATAAAATGAGGGGGAAAAAAGAAGTGGAAGCATGCTAGGTAGGGCGGCCTTAGAGGGTTAAGTAAGAGTGTATTGTTATGATTAGTGTTGTGTGTGTGTGGAGGTGCAATTATAATTAGTAACAGCAAAGGGCAGACGTGGAAGCAAAGATGATTAAAGTGGGCTGTGCTTGCCTGCAAAGTCTGCAACACAAAAACATTTTATAACTTTAGCCTTCCTTATCATTCACCATTCCCCACAAACATTTACATTACATATATTTACCCTCTATTTTTTTTTTCCCTTTTCTTACTTTATGTCTTCCCTCCATCTTTGACTTTCTACTTTTATACTTCCACACATTATTTATTACAGAATTCAAATCAAATCAATATTATGTTCATGCTCACTAGATCGTTCAAATTTTTAGTTCAGCGTGACATGTGATGCCATTCATGACTCGGAGATTGGAGCAAATCATGAACGTGCAAAGCGATGAGTTGTTGATGACAATAATGAAATAATAAAAAATTGCACACGAAATTATATAAAATATAATATAATAAATTAAAAACATATGATGTAGAAGTAGGAGTATTCATGTTCAAGAAACTTCTCCTCAGCCCAACTTTATGCCATGTTTATAATACTTTATTATGAATACAAGCTTTCTACGCAAAAAGGCATCTTCCGTGAAACTTCCTCAGTTTTTTTTTTTTTTTTTTTAAGGTCATGCGGTCCATTTTAGAAGATTCTGGACATTGAGAATTTGAGATCCAGTTGGATTATGCTCTTTTGGGTATGTTTTAAAAATAAAAAATAAAAAAATAAAGGAAGTCAAAGATAGCATATATACACACCTACAGGAGAGTCTGCCTGACTGATTGAGATGCCACTCCATCCTTCCTAATTTTACTTTTAAAAGTTGGAGTTTAGTGGGGTTAGGAACAAAGTTGAGAGTTGGTACCAATGTAATATATTTCCTCTGATAAGTAGGTTAGCGACCAGAGTCCTTAAGTGTTATTTTAGGACTCAATTCTTATGTAAAAAAATATTGTTTGAAAAAAGTAATATGTTCCCTCTTTGGAATTTTTCACCATCGCTTCTTTTTACCCCCTTTTTTTTACCATATTGTCTCTTGTAATGTATTCAATTTGACATTATATTATTCCTCATTTATAAAAGGTGCAATTCGTTATCAATTCTATATGATATATGCTAACATATTCTTGTAATTGAGGAAGCATGGCAGTGGATTTAGTGAGGTTGGAAGCTAGGGTAAAAAAATGCTGTGTATTTCCATGACTAGTATTATGTACAAATCCAGTTTACAAGGATAAATTCCAAGATATGATACGGATGCTATGTCAAAATCTACATAATATCTACTACATCTAAATCTAGTAAGACATATCACATAGCATTTTTTTTAAATAAAGATATCGCATAGCATTACAGATTCATGAGTTAGGATTAGGTGTTAATGGGCCTAAGTGTTGCTGGCCTCATATATTCTAACACTCTCCTTTGAAAAAAAAAAAAAAAACTTTACACATGAGATAGATGAACGTAAAGCGGGAGGATTTCAAAAACTTGGTGAGAGGTAAGGGAGAGGGGCGCCTTTCTTTCTTTCTTTTCTCTCCTTGTTCCTCCCTTTTCCAATACTCACCATTTATTTTATTTTATTAAATAAATTTATTTTAATTATAAATTTGATGAATGATGGGAATTGAAAAAGAGAAGGAAAAGGAGAGAAAAGAAAAGGAGGAGCCCTCTTCCCACAAGGTAGACAGTTAATAACAAATATAAGAATGCATATGGAAGAATCAAAATTAAAAATAACCTAAAATATGAGAGGCTAAAGCTAATTTTTTACAACCAAATTTTTTCAAAAAAAATTAAGCAGTAAAATTTTTTGGCGAGGGTGCCCCCTACATTTATTAATGTAGATCGTTAACATTTTCCCGTGGCTACCCCGCCCCCAAAAAAAACAAAAGAAAAAAAGATTAACATTCCCTCATGAGAGGGAACATATCAAATCGTTGACCAGTGACAACTTGATTCCCAACTATGCAAGTTTATAATATAGTGTTTAATGGAAGTAGGCTAATACAAGTAAATAAAGAGAAAACAGTTTTATCTAATTTCACCTAACCAGAATGACTGGCTAATGAATACATGAAGAAATAAGATCAATCATCATGTTGTTGTCATATATAACAATACCTAATTAAAAAAGCCAGATGCGTTATGACTCATTCTTTAAACTCTTGTATTATTTGAGACTCCACCAGTTAAAAGTAAATTACATTCGAAGTTTTTTTAACTTTTTTTTTATTATGGAAAAAATTTTATATAAAGAAGGTTCCAAGGACTCCCAAAAGTTAATGTAGATTTCGTAAAAAAAATGCATTAAATTATTTACAAATTATCCATAGTGGGATTCAAACTTATGTTTTGCTAGATTGTGAATTCTATTGACTTGTCTGGTAAAAAAAAAAAAAAACAATCTTCATTAACTTGACTAATTTTTGTTGACCAGGAATTCAGGCCGAATGGGCCACATTTCTAAGAGAAATTGGACCGGTGGGTGGCCCATCTTGGGCTGCACTTACCCCAACATTACAAAGGAGCCCATTTGTGCCAATCGGCCAACAACAAAATTAGGGCTTCGTCATATTCGAACTGCCCAGACTATAAAGGCATTTCTCATCCTGTGTTCTCGCTGGGATCTCTGTATTCCTAAGCTTTCGAGGAAAGAAAACAAATTCGAGGTTTTCAGGTGAACGTTTCCTTTTGCCTCTTCCCTCTTCTTTAAAGCGCTAATTGAAAGTAAAAGGTGGTCCTTTTCAAGATTTTTGAGAAATCAAATAGGTTTTCATCTTCTTGAAATTCATTGGAACTATTGGTTCTCGGTTATGTTTAGAGGAGGACGAGAAAATGATCCACTGGTGATTTTGCATCTGGTAGTGTACCCTCATAGCATTGGAAATTTGAGAACCTGAAGCAGGAGTGATTGGTTTCGGGGTTTTAGGGCTAGGGCATGGAGGTTTTGGCATATGTTGGTTTGTTACTTTTGTTCTGATTCTGACGATTGCTGAGCTGTTACCATTTTGTTTCTGAAGGCTTCTTGGAGGAATAGTTGCGAAGATGAGGCCGGTTTTTGTTGGGAACTTCGAGTACGATACCCGTCAATCAGAGCTGGAACGCCTGTTCGCTAAGTATGGGAGGATAGAACGCGTTGACATGAAATCGGGTAAATATTTTCGCTCAATCCTGTATTAGTCTCAAACAAGCCATCAAGCCTGCCGTCTCCTTCTTTCGGAAAGGAAGTTTGTTGTATTCCGTTGAATGTTTGGACTCCTAGGTGTCCTGATCCCATCGGTTTTTGGGATTATAGGCTGTATGTGATAAGCATTAGTATAATGAGCACACAGGCCAAAAAAATTATAGTGAGAAAAAGGAAATAATTTTGTGCATCTAAGAGTGAGTGATGGATTTGCACGTTGCTGCATTTTCATACCCTCTTGCTCATGCAATCAGAGGTTCTATTTTGATGTAAGAAACACCTCGTAGTTGTAAATGTTAAATTTTGTTGGGCTGCGCATCCTCTTCCTTTTTACTCATTCCATATAATCCATTTGGCGCAAACCAACCTCAAGGTTGTCACAATGTAAATGTTTTCCATGAACTCATTTATTATAAGCACAGTTTGATATTTATGCCCTCCATTGTGTCTTACAAGAGGAGAGTTAGTAGAATTCTTACATTATGTGTGCTCTTGTGGGACAGTCCCTTTTAAAATTTACGGTCGTGCGCAGGCGCTTGAGAGCTTAACTTACTTTGAACCTATTAGCATTATCTCTTCTTTCTGCTGTTATTATTGTTGTAGATCAATGGTGGATGGCTTGTAATGGGGTGTCTCTCTGATATTTGTTATGTGGTTTATGATGAAGTACATTTGCCCTTATTTAGATCCTATTTATTTACAGTTCCATAATTGTCAATCCATCTTATTCATTACATTTAGCATCTCTTTGAGGATTGTGTTGCATTTGGGATGATCTGTAGGAATTTATGGGGTCTTCTCTCAGCCAGTGTTACTTAGGGATTGGAATTTTAGTTTGGGAAAATCACATAGGAGTCCCATGTAATGAATTTAATTACTAATAGGTCTCATCTCGGGCAAAATACCAGAGGATGACATGTAAGTGCCACAGGTTGACATGTAACGGGGATTTATTAATAATTAAATTCCGTACCTTGGATTTCTGTGTGATTATCTCTTCCTGTTTTCTTAAATCTATCAGATTGAATATGAAGTGAATGTCACTTCTAATTTTTTAAAGTATGATTAACAAAAAATTCAATGAAAAAAAATCTATCTTAATAAGAATGTCTTGCATTTAGCAGATTCTGAAAACTAAGATATTGGAACAAGGATATTAGGATTGGATGTATGGCTTATTTTATGGGTTGTATGCTCCATTCCTAAATCCTGATGGAAAATATGTCGCAGCCACAAAATTGCAATTCTTTGGAGAAATCCTCCATATTTAAGTTTTTCTTTTGACGCAGGAACCTCTACTAAGGGAAAATGTGCTGAGCTCTTTCTTGGCTTGCCAACTTCTCTGCCAATTTTTTTTGGGAAGGAAACTTCCTGCCTGTCTGCCATCCTTCCACCCTCAGATAGCATCATCCGCATTTTCTCACCTGATCATCAGTCACTCACTCACCTCATCGCTTAACATTGCCATTTTATCAGATTGATCATAGTGGGATCATCATTCAATTTATTAAGCCATGCCTACACTGACTGAAAATAGGGGATCAATGAAACACTGTCATGCAATGCCATGCCTACATCCACTGAAACTAGGGGGTCAATGAAATCTATCATGCCATGCCATGCCTTATCTTACTGAATTCACTCGTGCTGTCTGAATGGAGAAGCATGCTTTGCAATGACAATCCCAGATCTGAATTTTGGATTTAAATCTTTTATTGCAATCATGATTTTGTTGCTCATTGAACGCCTCTACCGCTTCATGTGCATCAGCCCTCGCATATATGCAGGTGTTGTATTCTGTTGTTCCTGACAGGGAAAATGAAATCCTGATTTGGCTGATGTACTGCTTGGTGAGGGATGGCATGCTGATGACTTTCATCGTCACTTGTGTCTCTAATATCAGTACTGTTATTGCAGGTTTTGCGTTTGTGTATTATGAGGATGAGCGTGATGCAGAAGATGCCATTCGAGCATTAGACAATTTTCCATTTGGTTATGACAAGAGAAGGCTGTCTGTGGAGTGGGCTAGAGTATGATAATATTTTGATGAAAAATTTGAAATTTTTATTTTCCTTATTCTTTGTATTGGCAAGTAAAATGATTTCCTGCCCGAATATTATAGTACTTACTTCTTAGTTGCTTTGATACTTGTAGGGTGAACGTGGTCGTCATCGAGATGGGTCTAGAGCAAACCAGAGGCCCACAAAAACATTATTTGTGATTAACTTTGACCCAATTCGCACTAGAGTTCGTGATATAGAAAGACACTTTGAACCATATGGAAAAGTTCTTCATGTTCGGATTCGTCGGAATTTTGCTTTTGTGCAATTTGAAACACAAGAAGATGCTACTAAAGCTCTTGAGTGTACACATATGAGGTCAGTAATTAGGTTATGGTATTTCTTGGTGAGTTTCTTGGCGGTTTCCTATTCATGGCATTGGGAGTAAAAGTTTAGCCCTATTCTTGCAGCAAGATACTGGATAGGGTGGTTTCAGTGGAGTATGCTCTGAGGGATGATGATGAGAGGGGCGACAGATATTATGACAGCCCCAGACGAGGGGGCTATGGAAGATCACCCAGTCCAGTTACTCGTAGGCGACCAAGTCCTGATTATGGTCGTCCGCATAGCCCTGTGTATGATAGGTACAATGGACCAGCATATGACAGACGTCGGAGTCCTGATTATGGTAGGCCAAGGAGTCCTGAATATGGTAGGCCAAGGAGTCCTGAATATGGTAAATACCGCAGGTATTGGTTTTTGGTCAATTTTTTATCGGTTATCTTTTGCAGTTTGGTACTTCCGTTCAATTTTTATACCTCGAGCTAATTTTGTTCTATTATTCATCTACAGCCGTTCACCAATCCGAAGGTCCAGGACTTGAAAATGTCCGATGATGTGGAATGAAGCAGGTTCCGGGGGTTCTCAGTCACTGTGTGTTGGAATAGGAAGTAGTGCAATCTGTAGGAAAGTGGACACTTGGCAGAACAATTTATGTTTTGCTTTTTGTATCTAAAAATTCAGCATTTGGGGCTAATCGTGCGTTGAGGACTTGATATATAGCTTGTTCAAAGTAGGTTTGGTTAGTAGATATTACTATTGGGACGTGTTCTGCATTGACTGGTCTTTATGAAAAAAGCACAGGTCTTGAACAGTACCATGGAGGTTTTTTTCTCCCTTTTTTTTTTGGGCCAAGCTTATTACATCAATGAAACATTATATTAATTTTAATTCATTAATAATAGAGTAGGCCAACAACGAATGATTACACGTTTAAACTAGGACAACCATCCCGCTCCCCCAAGAATATTAAAAGTCAACAAGAATCATGAATAGAAATGGAAGTGATGCGGTGCTCACTAATACTCTAGGTTACCTCTAAGCTATCACGAGCCTTGTGAAGACTAGATTTCTCCCGAAACTGATAGTGCATGCTCCTTTCAGTCACAATCTAAAAGGTTTGTTTAGTCTTGTGGTATGATTGTTTAGGTAATATTTAAAAGATATTTTTAAAATTATTTTTTGTAAGAGAGAAAAGGTGGCATGATATTATTTTTTTAGATTTATCATATAAAAATATATTTAGAATTTTACATACTTTTGTATTCATATTTTTTGGTAATAGGTATTGATGAAGTGGACAGAAATGATTTGTGAAGCAGATTGGAGAAGTGTATGATTTATGATTAGATATGCTTGTTATATGGATAATCAGCCTGCTTTCAGTTTTTACAATTTGTATGAATGATGATTGATGATTTATTGCCAATATATATATATATATATATATTAGCAGAAGATTCTTAGCGCTCTTATTGGGGATAGCCTTGTTTAACCATATCTCAGCGTCTTCCATGATCTGAGGGCTCAAGTCTGAGCGTCGAAACGCAACACTCATTCTCATGTAGTTTCAAATCTCCATCAATATCGCCTTCTCTGCTTATTCCCTCTTTACCCAGCTGAGTTGAATGTTACTCAGACTTTCACTGATTATGAAACCCACGAGGAAGAATAATCCATTTATAGTATGGCTCAACTGTTCTGTAGGGGAAATCCCATATATGAAGGCATTTTCATCTCATTTTTCACAAAAGATGCAAGGGAAATTGCATTGACTTTCTCAGTCAAATCTTGACCTAAGTTTTCTTTGGGGACTGAAATAAGCACGCCAAATCCTATTTGAAATTAACATTGAAAGGCCACATGATTTTGTCCATCAGACCAATATTTGACTCAACTTAGGACTTGACAAATGATTTTTTAATTAAAAAAAAGAAAATGATGTGTTACCTAGTTGTGATGCTTTCGTGGAAGGTGCCTCTGGTGGGGGAGAAAGCATATATTTGAGGTTCACGTAATCTTCTTGGATAGGCTTTCATGAATCTTCCTCCTCTTTTCTCCTTGGTTCATAATTTTTTCTCTAACCAACCCAGACAAAGTCAGGTTCTTGCTCTAAAATCATTAAATGATCATTTATGATCAATTTTATTATATATTTTAGTGTTCATATTTAAATTTTACTTAGTAATTGTTAGTGGTGGACGATCTATAAATAATTATATAAACGTTTTTTGAACTTAAAGACATACCTTGGTTCTAATGAATTGTTGAGACTCAATTCACCTAAACTTTTTTTTTTTTTTAAATAGCTTAGTGATCATATGAAAAACATACTTGCCCAGAAAGCAGATCCCAAAAAATGCTTAATGATTTGATAACATATAAACTGAAGAAGTGTTAATTTTATCAAAAAAACAAGTGTTAATTTTTTTTTAAAAAAATTTATATTCAAGAAGAACGTGATCCTTCAAAATCATGACATTGTCAAACTCTAACACAAAAGGCAGCAGAAATGTCTGGGATTGTCAGTAATACTTTATTATTTACTTTTCATATTGAACATGAATGTTTGCTGATTAATCAATACCTTCAATAGATTCATTCACATATACCATATGAGTCTCAACTCTCTAGCCAACCAAAAATTAAAATTTCGTCTATTGTAGTTCCCACCTTTCTTTGTACAATAAAATAAATGATCTTCACCATTTTTCCTTTAAACAATCTTTGTACAATATGAACAAATGACCATCTTATTGTTTTAAAAAGGGCTTTTGTTTCTTTTGAATGTGCAGCTTCTGCAGAAAATTCACATGGATCCTACAGATAATCTTATATGCTAGTGATCAGTGGTCATGGTGATCTTGAACTTTTCTAGAATGAATTTTCCCTCTTTGTATTTCTGGGATTCCTCGTAAGTTCTGATGTATTTCCATCCCAAAGCTTCTCCACAATCATAGCAGAATACGTCAGAAACTGCGTGAAGACCAGTCATGAGCTGCCTATCCTCTTTGGGACCTTCTTTAACGTTAATGGCATGAGAGAATAGAAAAGCCCTCCCACTGCTTGCCTGCCACACATAAACCCTCAAAATCTTTTTGCTGAAAATGCTTAAAACAAATCAATTTTGAACATTTATGCAGTTTTTGCCCCCAAACCAATTCTTATCAGTAGAATAAAACCAGAAAAATAAACTTCATAATCACATTTTTATCAACCTTTTAAAGATCCTTATGCCAGATTGTGAGCTGATATAGTCTGAAAACTATATGCAACATGGTTCTAAATTCTATGCCTTTCATGTGGGACTCAAATCTGGTATCATCGTCAATATAAAACTTAGGCTGATGGAACAGATCAGAATGGTTTAAGTGTCAAATTTGAACCCTGTCCTTGACACGTTTCATCCTAGGAAACTAGCACAAGAGATGAAAAAAGTAATCAAAAGGGAAAAGGGAAAAAAAAAAGTGGTAATAATAATAGTAAAGCTGACCCGAAAATCTTTGGAAATAATTTCATCATGGAAAGCGATATGGTTCTGGCACTTAAAGCAGCAGTATGATCCCCTCAAAGAAGCCATTGATGAATTTGCCTTCAAGGCTGGTTCTACCATTCTGCTTATAAGCATAAATATAAATAATATATTTGATTTCAAATTGTAATAAAAAATTATGTTTTGCGACAACAATCTGGTAAATGGCTTGGCTTGTCAAAGGGGCGTATGACTCAGTTTTTTTGGCCTGGAGTGGATAACATGATCAAGGGCAGATTCTTAATCAAACTCTTAAATTAGTTTTAAACAGATAAGTGAGAATGTTAAAAGTAAATATTATTTTTTATGACTAATTTTTTTATTGGTTAAAAAAAATGAAGAAAGTAATTGAGGCTAAAGTCAATTTAGGTTGGTTAGAAAATGAAGAAGCTGATTGAATACCATAATTCGGGTTGCTTTTGACTAGTTAATATTTTGTTACCGTGAAGAATGGACCACAAATTTATACTAAATAAAGGTTAAATTTAAATGAAAAAAATATAAAAAGAATAACTCAATTTTTTTTTTTTTCAAATCATGAATGGCATGACCTGCTAGAGACCAACTATATATTTTTTTTATTGTATGAAAAAAGTAAAATTTGAAAGCTTGAGATAATATAAAATATAAAATCGATTCTCAATATAAAATATAAAAGTAAGCTACACCATTTTATTTTAATTATAATAATTTGGGGCTCAAATTATTTATGCCATTTATAATGAGTGATGTGACTTATTATTTTATTTTTATTGACGATGATATAATTTTTGTCCTTTTTTTAACAAGATATAATTTTTGTCTTTGAGAGACACAATTAAAGTTGGTTTCATGTATTATATTTGGACATTATATTAGTCCATTCTTGACACATTCAACTAATTTTGTCGATACACTTAGTGACATAGGCACATCACATTCTTTTTTGGTTAATAATGTGGAATGTCGCATCACTAAATTCGTCATAGAAAAAGGTCATGCGACATGTTATTACAATTTCATGTAATAGTATCAATTTTTTTGGATTAATATTTATTTTTACCCCGTATTTATGGACATGATTAACTTGGAGTTAATTATATCCTTGAATATTAAATATTTTCACTCCGATGACACTACCATTTTCTTTTCTTTTAGTTGGTGTTAGTAGGCTTCATAATTCATTTTTTCAAATATTTTTGCACTCTCTCTCCCAATTCCTCTCCTCCTCCTCTCTCTCCCCTCCCCAATTTCTCTCTGTCTCCAGTCTCCCTTTCCTCACACGCAAGCATGCTTGGTGGTTTTGTGTGTGTGTGTTTGGTTGGAGCAGCTATCGTCGATATGCTACTCTCTCTCTCCCCCCCCTCCTTCTCTCTCTGGTCCTCATCCTTCACTACCTTTGCAATGGGAAAGCCAGACGGAGAAGTCTTGAAGGAAAATTTAGGGCTAGACCCTCCACAATAATAGAAGTTAGTGGTGCTAGGCTTAAGAGGTTCGATTTTGACATGGTGGATCTTGCCGGAATTGCACAAGAAATATTGGCACAACATGTGACGCCCCTTTTCCTTCTCGCTGTATTCCCCGGACACTCTACTGCACTCCATCGTCAACGGTGCATGCTTGTCCTTTATAATCCACAACGCCCTCACGTGGTCCCGCCCTACCGGCGAGATGTGTGCTCCTGTATAATCCAACACCAATAGGTTGAGGATTCAAGACATGCTTATGAGTGATGCAAATATTATTGACTGAAATGGAGTTATGATACAAAGCTGCTGGAGTTTACATAGAGGGAAAAGGTGGGGAGAGGAGAGAGAGGAGAGAGGAGGTGGGAAGGGTGAAAGAGAAGGTGATGAATGAGCTAATGAGGAGACATGCCGTGAGAGAACCTTTCACTTTTGGATACCATTACCAGTGGTCTCTGCCTCTATATATGTCTTCATATATATTTACAGACTTTTGAATAAGAGAATTAAGGCTTAAGCTCTTGATTTATGTATTATTAATCTCTCTGTTCTTTTAGTGACGTTGTGAACAAGCTCAAAAGCATTCATGGATGACGAAGGGGATGGAGGAGAGAGAGTGATGAGAAGGAGATAGAGAGAGAGTGGGAAGGAGGGAGAGAAGGAGAGAGATGGGATGGGAGAGAGATTTTTATATTATACAAGATAATAAAAAATGGTGGGACCCACTATTATACCCAATGAAGAAAATTCAATTTGTCGGATTAACTCAGACCCTTATCTTATCAACTCTTTGGCCTCCACAATAAGTTAGTCAAGTTGCTGTGCAAACTTTATATCTCTTGTTTTCATTGCGTCTTATACTGTTGGCATTCAAGTTCAATTTGTTGATGTTATAACTCAATTTTTTGACAATGCTTTTGTATTTGCAAATAATTTTTCATTAATTATTTCCTAAAATCTTTCAAATTATTCTCTTTGGTAGAATGCTTCAAGTTCAGCTCTTGATCATTAACCCATTTGGATTGATATACATGGGATATCTTTTGTTGAGAAGTAAACTCATGCAAATCATTAACTTGCATATATGGATAGTGACCTACAAAAGTTAGGGTACTTCCACATGGATGATATGGTAAATATAAGCTTGCATTGAAGTGGAGGTCGTAGTGTGAATGGAATGAATATGTAGGTACTTGTTTAACGCCATGAGTTTGATTATAAGGCATGGAAGAAAAACAATTATTTCCATAAGACAAAACATTCCAATCCATCATGCATTTAATACCACAAACAACATTAAAAAATTGGAAGAAACAACTAAAACAAACAAAGAAAAAGTAAAAAAAAACTGAAAAAAATAAAGAAAATACCCTAAAAATAAAAAAAAAAAGAAAAAAAAGGCACCAAAAATTCAAATCAAGTCAAATAACCACCAAAGCTTTGAAAGAGGTATTAGACGACATTAATTAACACATCCAAAGCCTCAGCACAGTAAAAGGAAGAAAAAAAAAGAAAACTAAAAAAAACTTGGGAAAAAAGAAAAATTCAAAGAAAATTCGCAAAAAAAAGGAAAATTAAGAAAAACACTAAAAATGATTGAATTTGGCAAAACTAACCCCGGTCTTTAGCACACCAAAAAACTTTGGAATATCAAAAATCAGAATTTTCTGGGCAAAAATAGAGCAATTTCTAGAACAAGGTATTTATACGAAATAAACTGAAATGCAAAATGTACAAGAGCAAAACAAGATAAAAATGCATGAAAAATGCATGTGAAATGCATGAAAACACCTAGGAACTCTTAAGACTAACCATTTTTTCCTAGCAATGGTGCCAAAATTGATGGATTGCTTTAGTCGTGTCGGCACTCAATTAAACTAAAATTGACTTAATATAGTATAGGTTAATTCTAGATCATTCTTTTCAAAGAGTAATTTAGGGATTATCTTAAGTTTTTTAAGTATTTAAATATTAATATAAAAAGATCTAAAATTAAATGCTAAATTTTACACTAAAATATAAATGAGAATTGCAATTTATGCAACTAAAACTATTTAAATGGATGTTGATTCTTATGTCACCTAACTATTATTATGCAATGCATGAGTCCTAAATTATAATTGGGCGGTTTTTGGTTCAAGAAAAATAAAATATAAATTACAAAATTAACTAAATGACAAAAAGAATTAATTAACCAAAAATTAAGAAAAGTTTAATTCAATCTCAGTAAAGGGAACAACTTAAAATTTTACATGGAGTGAACTTTACTAGCTCAATTCAATTAGTTAGGCTAAAGAGAAATGATAAGAGAGTAGAATTAATAAATTCAATTACCTAATTAAAGTAAAGAGAACCCATAAGTATAAAGTCTAACACTTAATTCACTAGAGAACTCATAATAAACTAAATGTCATAACTATGAATTAGGAAAATTAAATTTATTAAAATCAATGATGATTAATTCAAAAATAAATCTAGGAAATATGTTTAGATTATCTAATTGAATAATTAGACAAATTGGAAACTCAATTGAATAATCAAGAGGTAAACTGAGCAATCCAAAGTTGCAACAAACACCACAATGATAATTAAATAAAAAATGAGAACTCAATCATTAATTTAATTAGTAAAATAAATGTATATAAAAATAAATGTCAGAAACTCATTAAATACAAAATCAATCCAAATATTAATCCAATCCAAGATTCAAAATATTTACAATCTAAAACTAGGTTGTACTCAAATATTAAAACTTAAAATCATTTAAAACTAAATAATCCTAAGCTCTTGAATTAAAAAGATAAATAAAAAACACTCCTCAATGGTTTTCAAATGCAAATCCTATGATCTAACTTTCTCCATGCTCATCTTAAGTTATCTTCCAAGCTAGCTCAAGCTCTCATGATTTTTGTTCTTCCTCCTTTCACCATATAATCTACGGCCATGAGAGGATGACTAAAGGAGATGGAGTATAATAAATGAATAATGATTTGGGAAGGATGAGGTGATATAGACGTAAATAATGGAACGGTGAAGGTGACTGAATGAATGGGGACAAGAAGATTGAACATTGACAATGAAGTGGTCCATGAATGCAAAAGAAAGGAAGTGAAGATGTGAGATGGTTAAATGAAAAAAAAGGGATTGTGGGATTAAGTCGGGGAAAGGAGCAGTGACGGCGGGTTGGCAGAAGAAATGATGGAGGATCCTGGACGCATAAAGAGAGTAAAAATAGAGAGAGAGAGCTCCTGATTGAAGGTGGTGTCTGAGAGTAAAAGAGAAAGAGAGAAATGTTGGAAAAATGATCCAATGGCTAAAACAGTGAGTAAAGAGTTTTGGAAAAATATGAGCTATTGAATTCAAAAAGAATCAATTAAAAAAAATAAAAAAGTAAAAAAGTTTTCAATTTTTTTAATTAAAAATGCCTAATATATCCTTAATAAATTTTGATAATTTCTTTCTTATCTTATTTTTTCAAAGTCCTTAGATGCTCTTTTAATTGTTAAGATTCAATTTTCATCATTGAGTTTTAGTGATTTTATCTCCAAATCCTAAAAAATTAAATGCATTTATTAGTGTAAATTATGTCCAAAATAAATTTAATGTC